ACACACACACATATATATATATATATATATATACACACACACATATATATATATATATATATATACACACACACATATATATATATATATATATATACACACACACACATATATATATATATATATTAAAAGTTTTGTCTTTTTCTCTAATTCCAAATTAAGTGATGTCAACCTCCTCTTTGATTATGAATAAATAGGACAATCTCTCTCTCTCTCTCTCTCCCCCCTCTCTCTCTCTGCATAACAGCGTGTCCATGGACCATGGCTATTAGGGTTCCACTTTGATCCCTTCCGAAGGCTAAGCTACTGCTCCCCAACTCGTCCATGAAATCGTTCATTCTCAAGGTATATCTACCATTCTTATAAAGGGAGAGTTGAAAAGGCTAAAGCTAACTATACCTGCAACCAAATCTCATCTTAATCTTTTGTTTTTTCTCTTCGTGTTTTCTACTTTCTTTACTGAGTCATACAGCCGGCCGTTGAGAATTAATGCCGACGGCTGAATCAATCATAAAGTCGTCTCTCTATAACACTATTTTTCTAGCTTCTGTACTGAGTCATACAGCTCATAAAAAAAAACAAAGAAATTAACGTTATAGTACACACGACAGATATCGAAGAGCAGGAAAAAGAGAACAGAGAAAGCAAGACCGGCCTGCCATCAAGAGATGGAAGCTAATAGAAGAAGGGAAGGAGGAGTGGAGATGAGGAAGCTTCATATAGTTTACTTCCTCAGCCGAAATGGAAAGACTGAGCAGCCCCATCTAATTCGTGTTCATCATTCGAGCAACAATGGGGTTCACCTACGAGGTTATTTTTGCAAATTAATTATTTATATCTATTTTTATATATGATAGGGTTGGTTTTGCTAATTGTATGTTTCTGTGGGGTTTTGATGAGGTTGTTATGATGTGAATATATGTAGATGTTAAGAGATGGCTTTCAGAGCTTCGGGGAAGAGAAATGCCGGACTCCTTTTCTTGGTCTTACAAGAGGTTTTGTTTTCTTTTATTTATTTGTTTAATGGTGGAATTCCTTTTATTTTTGTTCTTATGGTTTTTACATTGGTATTGATTTTCTTTTATTTAAAAAAAAATTATTGGTTAAATTAAAAGACTTTTTTTTTCAGATTCATATAAGTTAATATGTAATTTCATTAATACCCCTATCAAATTAAATAAGAAAAAATAATATTAATTTCAACAAGTGTTATAATAAAATGACAAATAAAATAAGAAATTTCAATAGAAATAATAAAAAAATTAATTAATATCAAATATAAATTTTATTTTTTAAATAATTTAATATAATAAATGTAAAAGTTTGAAATTTAATAAATTTTAATTATATTTTATAATAAAATTTTCTAAAACAGTTTGCTGCAAGTAAGAGTCGAGTCAGAGTTGATTTGAGTTTGACTTGTTAACTCATCGAGCTCCTTCGCTCAAAAACCACTTATCGAGCTGAGGTCGAGCGGCTTAGCTCATTTACACCCTAAGTATACTATCTTAGCGCGCGTGTGTGTGTTGAAATTATTACAGTTATAAATGTCATTTTATAAAGTTGACATATTTCCATTAAGAAACATTCCTCTATTAAATATAAAAATATTCATTGAGCTCAACTTAATATAAAATTAATCTTCTTGAAGTTCTTGTTACGGGTGTAAACAAGTTGTATCGGGTTCAAGTCATCTTAGAGTTGACCTTGAGCTTGATTAATATTATTTGAGTTCAAGTTCGAGCTAGAGCTTAAGTCACAGGCTCACGAGCCAACTTCTCAAATATAAAAGAGGAAAAATAATATTAATTTAAGATAATGTTACAATAAAATGACTAATAGAATGAACAATTATGAGAGAAATAATAAGAAATCTCTTAATATTAAACACAAACTATTATTTTTTAAAATATTTTTAATACTTTAAAGATAAGTCTTCATATTTTATATGTTTTGAATATAGTTTAAAATAATATATTTTGAGGCTGATCAGGAGCTAACGAGTCGAGTTGGGCCCAAATTGAGCTTGGCTTGTTACCTCATTGACCTCAGTTCATGAGCCACGTATTAAGCAGAGCTCGAGCAAAATCACGAGTCAACTTGACTCACTTACACCTCTAGTTCTTACCATATTACTCTTAGGTTGAAATATGAGG